CCCATCCCCACCTACTCCAACCGATGCACCACCTTAGCCCAACCCCAAACTCTGCGGCTGACGCACCACCCTAGCCCAACCCAAAACACCTAAGCCCCAACCACTACCATGCAAAGCCACGCACCCCCTTTTTCCCTCACCCTTTAAACAACCAAATCGACCATTCGGGGTTTCAATGGTCGATTTCGGCCATTTTAAGGGTGAAAGGCCGGGTAAAGGATTTGAGTTTTTCGTCCTTTAGGGTTCACGCATCAGATTTTTAGTGCTCGAATTGGCGGCAAATTGCTGTTGTTTCGGCGGTGCGGTTCACAGGGTGGATGCGGTTCATAGGGTGGGTGCGGTGGCTTGGGTGAAGTGCGGTGGCTTGGGTGAAGTCCGGTGGGTGGGTGGGTTTGAAGGAGGGAAGGGTTGGTTGTGCGTGGGTGGTTTTGTAGGAGGGAGGGTTTTTTTTTTTAAAAAAAAATAGATTTTTTAACAAAAGTTAACGGTGTTAACTTTAGGATTAGTGGGGGATTAAATCATAAACACTAAAGGTACCTTGGGGTTATATTGTGGAATTTTGAAAATGGGTGGGCAAAGCTTAGAAAAATGAATATCTCAAGGGTACTATGTAGAAAAACCCAAAAATAAATGAATAAATTGAAGCACTTTGGAAATACGCGAAACAGTGGTAACATTTAACGACAACATTAGTTCATTTTTGTATAACAAATATCCATATTATTATTACATGACTTCATAGCTAGGTTGCTTGCACAATAATAGGAAAACCTTACAAATTTTTTTTTTTAAAAAAAATGTCATAGTTACCTAAAACATTTTAGCTCAATATCAATTTTATTTAATTCCAACCAAAAAAATTATTGATTTATTTATTGAAATAGAAATGATTAAAAAAAACTATTCTTTAAAAAAAAAAAAACCAAAAATATATATGACATCATAAGTGCATTAGGCGGGAAATTTTTTTATGAGAGAGCGACACGTATACAATTTGAGGAGAGCATGATGTCAGCAATTTTCTGTTTTAGTAATAGTTAATAGATTCTCATTAACTGTCCTTGTGCTATCTATACACCAATTAAAAAAAAGGAGAAATTCTCACCGGTAACACCCAACTTTTGTTTTTTCTCAATGTTAGAATGCAAAATTTTGGATTATCATTGGTAATCACCAATTAGTATTAATAATTTACTGGTAACATTAATTAAACCTTTACGTAATTATTGACTAACCATGGTTTACAAATAATACAATTACAAACCTATCCTTCTAAAAAATCACTTCCCTCCAAAGTTATATGCTGCTTTCCCTCCTTAATCAATTACCCCTTTATATAAACCCTAAACCCCCAATTCTATTCGTATTCTCTGTTCTTCTTCTTCTCAATTTATCTTAATACTTCCATGGCTAAACAAAATAAGAAATATAAGATAGCATAGGGAATGAGACAGGAGGTCAACGAAAGTATCCAATCCAATAAATTGATCATCTTGAATTGATTGAAGTTTTAGTCAGATGATTATAGATTGAGTTACTGTAGTCACCTAAAAATGTCTCCCCAAAACCAAACCCGATGATGAACAACCTTTCACCGCCACTATTGGTCGGGTTCAGTATTTAATCCCGAGAGTGCTTAAAAAATCGTATTTGATTAAATTCGTATTTTTGAATAGTCCATGGATTATTCTTGATGTTTGGTAAAAGCATAGTTTTAATTTCAGCCCAAACTTATTATTTAATTTTAGCCCAAACCTTTTATTTATTTTATTGTTTTATTATTTATTTTTGGCCCAAACCTTTTATTTATTTTATTTACTTATTTTCTTATTCTAGCCCAAATAATAATAAATCAGAAAAAGGCCCGAAATTATCAATCGACACTTAAAATGCTAAACGAAATTAGGGTTAAAAATGAATTTAGATGGAAAAGCGGACTGAAAATTCCCGCGCCACGGCAGCAGTTCACCGTGTCACGAGAAACTTTCCCGTCTGACGGTAGGATTTCCCGTGACACGGGAAACCTGCTGTGACACGGGAATTTCTGTGTCCTTTTCGCGTAAACCCTTAACGCGTTTTCTCCCCCGTTTACTAAATATTTCCTGCGTCACACAAAATTTGCACCGTGTCACGGGAATGTTTCTCGTCTGACGGTGGGATTTCCCGTGTCACGGTACACTTTGCCGTGTCGCGGGATACTTTTTTAGGGTTTTTATCATTTTAGGGTTCCGTGTGTTCCCTTAACACATTTTTTCTATAAATACCCCCTCATTTCTGATGTACGGGGCATCAATTAATTCTCTATTTTTTCTCTCTTCTATGCTCTAGCCTAAACACTAGCCTACCCTTCTTCTTTCAAAATTCCTTCTTCAAGTACTCCAAGGAGTCCATACTTCACTCGTGGTTCTGTCCTTAAGCCAAGGCGTGAAAGGTAGAACTGTTTGAGGGTTTGGCCCAAATCAATTCTATTTAATTTAATTTAATTATTGTTTTATTATTATTTCCTTGAAGTTACTAACTCGTTTATTATTTTGTAGTAGCAAACAAACAGAACCAAAGTAAGAATTATGTTCCTTTTATTTCTATTATTTTTCTAACGATTTTGTATTGTTAGAATTATTATTGAATTGCTTCCAATATTAATGTTTATTCTATTATTTGTTATGATCACCATTTTGCATGTTAAAGGGAATATGTAATTGAAAATCACGCCTAATAAGATAATTTGGACAGCCGGTTTAGGTTCCTTTTAAATCTTGTTGTTAATTGAAGTGATCACAATATTTTAGAATTATGTGTTGCATTAATATTAAACCAATTTAGCTTAATAATAGTTTGGAGCAAATTGAATATTTTGTTTGTATGCCTTTGAGATCGTAGGAATCACTTTTCACTATAAGAATCGAGTAGAGGCCAATACGGGCGAATGTGACTCCATGAATCACTTCGTACAATCATCTCCGATCCTCCTTTCGTGGTTCCGAACCATATGGAGTTAGTAATCTCATGGATTATGAATGGGGTGTAACCTTCACGGGTCAATCGTTGTTGCCTATCGTTGTCCCTTATCGTGGTTGCCTTTTTATGATCCGTGAACGGTTTACAAGTTCCTTAAAAACTTGTTGGCGGCTCCCTACTTTCTTTGTCCCTAATTGTATACGTCAACTCCCACTTCCTAAGAGTGCCAAGCATATTCACCACATGCTTTAACGTAGGCGCACTTCGAGCGACGCCTACAATTACCAATTTATCTGTATTTTATCAATCGTGGGTAATTCAAGGTTCAATTTTTCTGGGTTCGATTAATTTAGGTTCACTTGACCCAATCATCACTTGTTCTTCCAATTTTCGATCTGATTTTGAGTTTAATTTGGTGGGTTTCGATCTAATTTGGGGATGAACTACTGGGTTTATTGATTAATTTTAGTTTATGTGAGAATTTGATCATCTGAAGCACCGAGGCTTCGGCTAATTTCAATAATACACTATCATCATATTGCAACAAATTCGTTTATCTGACCTTATACAACCAATATTGTAAAGTGAATGCTATATTGCTATTGGTTTACCTTACATCAACATGGGGCTGTACAGAAGGTACATGAGAATCATGGTGATCATCCGTAGAGCTCACCTAATCTGATTTGTCAGAGAAAGTTGTTGCTATGGAGAGGACTAACAGTGGTCGTGACAACATCTGAAAATAATTAATTTATATAATCTCTTAGAAAGGGGGTTTTCAAAGAAAAAAAAAGGGAATCCAAACTGCATAATGATGAAACGAGAAGTGTTAAATTCATTTGATTAGACAGAAGTGGTTAAGGGAAATAAATAGGGTCAATTTAGTCATTTCGCAGTTTATTTCCCACTTAACATTTTAACCATGGTTAAGTTTTTAAATAAAACTTTCATTAATGTTACCAGTAACTAAGGGTTCGTTTGGCATCGCTGTGGTTTTCTGTTTTTTGGTTTTTTGTTTTTTAAAAGTATATTATATATGTCACATAATGAATCAAAAAATATTTAGACTGCTTAAAATCATGATAATTTTGAAAACTGACAACAAAAAAGTGGAAACAACTTTTTCTTGAAAACCAAAAATGATGCCAAACAAGCCCTTAGTATTGCTAATTGGTGATTACCAATGATAATCCAAAATTTTGCATTCTACCATTGAGAAAAAACGAAAGTTGGGTGTTACCGGTGAAAATTTCCCAAAAAAAAATTGTAGTGATTTCCATTATATTTGTTCAAAACTACTGATTTTTTTTAATAGAATACTCAGTATAATACGAAATGCAGAATATTATTATTATTTTTTTTTTTTGAAGAAACGGAATATTAAAAATTGGTTGAGAGAAACAAAGCATTAATTGTTGTCAATCTTGTCATGCATGATTTATCAAGGTGTAACACAAACAAACAAACAAAGGGAGTAATAACTTTTTAAAACAGAAAAATGTAACACACTTCATTTTTTTTTTTGAGAACACACTCCATAGAACAACATAAAACGTGACTTGGGAAACCTCATCGGCCAAGTCGCCCACAAGAAACAACTTACTTTCAAATTTTTAACAAAAAAGGAAATTAATTAAATGAATTAAAAATGAAACACAAAACGACATCATTAAATAAATTAAAGAAAAAGCAAAAATAAATAGAAATAATAATAATAATTAAAAAAATAATACTACGTAAAAAGGTGAGTGTCGTTTTCCTCCTCCTTTCAACACAATCCCATCCTTATATTCATCAGCACACTCACTTCTTCTTTCTCTCACCTCTTTCCTTGTCATTCTTCCCATCTTTTTCCTGATTTTCGATTCTTCCTTCTTCTTCAATTCAATCTTACATTATATTTTAAATAATCAAAATTTTTTAAATAGTTTTCGAATTCCTGTTTTTCTCTCTCCTCTTTCGAAATTCATTCAGTGGTCGGTCAATTTGTTCTTGTTTTTTTTTTTTTTTTTTTTTTTTTTTTTTTTTTTTTTTATTAAAAAAGAATAAAAATCAATTATTAATCGTTTTGACTTTGAGTTTTTTTTTTTTATTTTGATATAATCTAGGGTTTTGATTTGGGTATTTTGTTGGTTTGATTGGGTTTTTTATCCGATCTTTAATCGTTTCGGTTTTGAGCCGATTCGATTCTGGGGTTTGGGTAGATCGGTGGGGGTGATTCGAAAGGTTGAATTTGAGGTTGATTTTGTGGGTTTCAGAAGGATTGATTCTAGGGTTTTGTAGAAGTTTTGATTAGGGTTAGAGCTCTGAATTTGGGTTTTTTTTCTTTTTTTTTGGTTTGAGAATTTTGGTGTCCGGATTTTGGGGGAAAAACGGAGGTTTTAGTTTGAAAAAGAAGCAGAAAAAAACAATGTTAGGTGCGGGCTTACAATTTAATCGGAGTCGTAACGATGATCGGTTCTACATTCCGGCGAAAGGCCGAAATAATTTTAATCAAAATCATAAGAACCCTCATCTTCAAAGAACTCAAAGTGATGTTGTTAATGGTGGGTTAGCAGGAGGAAGTCAATGCAGAGAGAAGTCTGTGGTTACAGGAAGTAGGGAACCTGACAACCGGGTTGAACAGACCCCGGTGCCAGCCGCCTTGCCGGCTTTTGAACCCGTGGCGTTGCCTTTGAGTAATGTAGAACGTTTTCTTGAGTCCATTACTCCTTCTGTTAATGCTCAGTATCTCTCCAAGGTTGTTCCAGGAAAAAAAACTTTATCATTTTATGTGATTGTTAATATTTATTGATTAAATGTGTGTTTTTTGCTGATGAAAATGGTGGGTTTTTGCAGACTACTGTGAGAGGGTGGAGGACTTGTGATGTGGAATACCAGCCTTACTTCATGCTGAGTGACTTGTGGGAGTCATTCAAGGAATGGAGTGCTTATGGTGCTGGAGTTCCTTTGGTTTTGAATGGCAGTGATTCTGTTGTTCAGTACTATGTACCTTCCTTGTCTGCCATCCAAATTTATGTTAAGTCGAGGAGGTATAATACTTTGATTATTCTCTGTTCCGTTTGTTTGTTGTCTTTGTTGTTCAATGAAATATCTTATGTTTTGCTCATTGATGTTTGTATATAATTGCCGTTCCGAGATCATGCATTTGGCTTGTTTTTTATAGCAACTTTGAAATTCATGGATTCCATCATATTAATTTGGTAGTGGAATATGAATTTTAGGTTGTTAGCTGTGATTTGGGTAATGGTTCATGTGATTTTCTTTCCACTATTGCTTGAGAGTAGTTATATGTGTATTATGTTAGTTTATTTAAATTGCCTTTTCTTGTATGTTTGTCGGGGTGTATGGTTTGTTTGTCGTGTATGTTATGTAATGTTTCATTGTCGGGGTGTATGGTTTGTTTGTCGTGTATGTTATGTAATGTTTCATTGTTGGGGTGTATGGTTTGTTTGTCGTGTTCACAATCATTAAGCACGGGTTACCCCTTTTATTTTGTTTGATTTTTTCAGTTTATTTCTGTTATATAAGTTTTTATTAAAATGTCGTTATGTAAGTTCAAAATGGCCCCCCATTTCGAAATTTCTGGATCCGCCACGGGTTCAGATAAACATCTTTGAGGGATACATCTTTCTTAATTACGGAAGTCTTGGACTTATCATTTTTCCCTTCATGTTTCTAGTCTCTTAGTCAATGCATGAAAGATTAGTACACCGTAGTGATAAAAGGCGAAAGATTCTGATCTGTTTCAGATTTGTGTAATCTAAAAATTAATGTGTAATTTGATTATAGGTAGCAATTTGGTTAAGGCAATTGTTCTGCTGCTCACATATGGTACTCTTCTTAATGGGATGGAGATAAATTTGCGCATCTTGTGTTGTTATCGTTTTCTTCATCTTCTGGGTTTAAGAAGGATTGATTCTAGGGTTTTGTAGAAGTTTTGATTAGGGTTAGAGTTTTGAATTTGAGGTTTTGTATGTTATGTAATGTTTCATTTTTGGGGTGTATGGTTTGTTTGTCATGCTCACAATCATTAAGCACGGGTTACCCCTTTGATTTTGTTTGATTTTTACATTTTATTTCTGTTTTATAAGTTTTTATCAAAATGTCTTTTGTGACAAATCTTAAAATCCTGGACACTGTAACTAGTCTCTTTATTCCCTAATCTGTACTCTAAGAAATATTAAAGTATTTCTGTAGTGCACTAATGGTATGTTTTTGGTAAACTAGGGCTTAAGTAAAGAATTGACAGGGTTGCTTCATTCTAAATTACTTTATGTGGAGGGTCCATGCTAGTTCCTTTCTTCTGTAGTTCTGTTATGCTCTTTATTAAAATACTAAAATGTGTTTTAAGCTTTAATGATTGCTTGAGTTTTGTTTCTAGTAGCCTAGATTACACTGTATCTCCTTCGTGTTACATCAAGCTTTTGTTCTTGAAATTCTTGTAATGTACCCTTAGACTTAACCTTGTGATAAGCCTGGTGGTTGAAGAGTGTATTATTACTGCTCCTAGACATTATATCTTCATTGGTGATAGTTGAAAGGTAGGAGCAGTAAACTCTATGCCTCTGTGGTACTGTATGTCACTATGCCGTGCATGTTTATGTAGGCAGTATTGAGTCACTTGTGTCACGTGAAACAGGAACTTCAGGAAAATCTGGCAAAGACATTGGGTTTTGTCATAGTTTCTTTTATTTACCAATTAGAATGTATTCAGATTAAACATCTTTGAGAAATACATCATTCTTGATTACGGAATTCTTGGAAAATTGCCATTTTTCCCTTCATGTTTCTAGTCTCTTAGTCATTGCATGAAAGTTTAGTACACCGTAGTAATAAAAGGCGAAAGAGTCTGATCTGTTTCAGAATTGTGTAATCTAAAAATAAATGTGTAATTTGATTATAGGAAGCAATTGGTTAAGGATCTTGTTCTGCTGCTCACAAATGGTACTCTTCTTAATGGGATGGGGATTAATTTGCACATCTGGTGTTATCGTTTTCTTCATGTAGTTTTCCTCTTTTACGCCCACGTGCATATATGAGGGTTTCAGGGTGAATCTGCCAGATTTAATGTGTGCTATATTAAATGATGGTTTTCCTCTTTTGCAAGCACGTGCATGCCGTTGTTTATCTGGTGAACTTTTATGCCTACTTGACCGTTATGGTAAAGACAAAACTTGATTCTTATACAATTAATATCATTTTGGTGACGTAAACTCGAACTGAAACAAATGCTTCTCTTTTAAGTTCTCTGTGTAACACGTGTAGCTGCGTGGGAATTTCTAATCATTAATAACTTTTGCGCCTCTATTAATGTTAAAAATATTGGAGTAGTTATATCTGAAGTTTTTTTTGGCTTTTATCTATACGTTTACTTTATTTATTAAAAAATTGTGTTTATTTATGACATATACTAAGGTGCTCTGCTACTGACAAGTGAAAACACAAAAAATAGATTTTTTTATTCACACTTGTTTTGCATGTATCCATTGTTGAATCAAGGCTTGCTTGTTCCTTCCACAAACCAACTCATTGTGTTGTGCAAACTATGATTCTACTTATTAGATTACACTGATTTTGTAAGGAAGAGATGTTTTTACGTGTATGTTATTATATTGTTATTACTAGTCCCTCCCACCAACCAACTCGTTGTGTTGTGCAAACTCTTTTTATTAACTTTTTATAGTGTTTCTACTCGCATGTGTTTCCTTTTTTTATTGGATCCCCCCTGGCCCTCTTTTATAAATTTTTTCAAATTATTTTTATTATATCCTCCTTTTGGGTCTCACTGTGCACTTCCCTTCTTTTTATTTTTGTTTTATTTTATTTTATGTGTGTGTGTGTTGCTGCGGATTCTTATTTCATTTTAGTTGACCCAAATTATGTTGGGACTAAGGCGTTGTTATTATATTGTTGAGTTAGAACTAAGAAGGGTTCATGTTGCTCTACTGCGCTACTATTTTTCCTTATTTATGTTGACTATGTACATGTTAGCTGCGTTTTTTAATGTCTTATTATAATGAAAATTTTCCAGTAATGTCATTTTATTGATGAGGTAATACTAGCAGATGTGGAAATTGAAATATGTAATCTTGTCTTTTGCCATGATAACATGCTTATCTTGCTGCATTTACCATTGCATAAAGTTATAATTTTCAGCTCACTTTCAATTTATTTTAAGTTTTGATTTGTCTACTTATGCATAATCTATGAATCAATTTATGGGAAAAATGTACAGTACTTAGCTACACTTCCCTGGCCAATGTGCCTCTTAGCATACATTATGCACTCCACTTCTAATTTATACTACAAGGTAGTATATTTTTACTCTTTGCTTTCTTTCTTTCTTTTTCTTCCCTTTTTTTGGCCATATATTTCTAATCTTTTAGGATTGCTAAGTGTTACTTTTTGTCTTGTTTTTGTGTCATCTACCTGTCAAATATATTATATGTATTTTTTGGTGCTTCTCCCTTTTGACCTTAATGTAAATTTTTGTATACCCCATAGGTTGACGTAATAGATTTAAAAATGATTGGAATTATTTGTGTGACTGTGATGTTATGATTCTTTGTGGATCAGGCGCACTAGTGAGGACGGTGACGCAGACTGTTTTAGCAGGGACTCAAGTAGTGATGGAAGCAGTGATTCCGAGCGTGACAAGGGCTTAGCTTGCTCAAGGGGCCAACGGAGTCATTATAACCATCCTAGTGATGTTACTCTTAAAATGGACAGATTATTATTGAGAGATCAGCATACAGCGATGCAAGAGGGCTTTTCAAGTGATGAGGCTGAACCTGGGACTGCTCAAGGAAGGCTGTTGTTCGAGTTTTATGAACATGATCCACCCTTTTGTCGTGAACCTTTGGCTGATAAGGCTAGTGCTGTTTTACTTTTCTATCATTTAGTGGAGGATGCCTTGTATCTGTTTATTTATATATATATTTTTTTAATTCCTCATACTAATTTTTTAAAATTGTGTCATTTGTTTCGATAGATATCTGATCTGGCATTGCGTTTCTCGGAGTTAAAGTCACTTCGTAGTTGTGACGTACTCTCCTCAAGTTGGTTTTCTGTGGCATGGTACTTACCGCTTCAGTCACCATGTTCTTTCTTTGCTATATAAAATTGTTTTTAACTTATGTGGGCTTTTTTTTTTTTTTTTTTTAAAAAAAATAAATTATTTTAGGTACCCAATCTATAGGATACCTATGGGACCGACACTGAAAGATTTAGAAGCTTGTTTCTTGACCTATCACTCTTTGTACACACCAATGGGAGGTAAGGCATTATGTTACTTTTGGCTGACTGCAAGAGTTATTAGAATATTTGAACGCTTTTTAAACTACCCCACCATTAATTACTCTCTATTTTTTTAAAGTTTAGTAATTTGTATGCTTTAATTATATAAGTTAGCCCACATGGCTACAATAATTGCCATACACGATTGCCCCTACAAAATGTGTTTAATGTAATTTGAGTATATATTAGGAAACCAAGTGGAAGTTGGTTCTCTTCAGCTTAATGGCAGTATAAAAATCAAATTATCATTAGTATGTGCAAGATTTTGTAAACATGCAAATTGAAATCCAGGGCCCATTTAGTTGGACCGTTGGAATGAGTTTGAGTGGGATTAGAGCTCATTCCATCCATTTTATTGTTTGGTATGGCTTTTTAGCTATGGAACCTCATACCAAGAGGGTTCTAACTCTTCCCCATTCCCAAGAATTTCATACCCACCTCACCTCCTAAGATTCACATTTCATAACATTAGTAAGATGTAGAAACCATTCCAACTATAAACCAATTAACTTCAAACTAGTATGGGACTTTGAATCATTCCTCCCAAATACTTCCTCCGTTCTTTTAATATTGCACTTTGCACCACTTTCCTTATAAGGAAATATCACAAATATTGCACCATTTCTATTCTAGGAAAAGAAATATTTGTGTTCACACTACAAATACCAAATATATCCTTACTTTTCAACACTTGATTTTTTAGTTTATGTATATCATCACTAGGGCAATCTTGTATTTTTCCCTTTCTCTCTCATCCTTTATTCCATTACCAAAATACTTGTGCCCAACCCCTATGGTGCAATAAAATAAGAAAAGAGGAAGTATGAGATTTCATACCAATCATACTAGTTTAACGAACCAATTGACCCCTTAGATTATTCTTTCATTTGGTCACTGGTAATTTAAACATATAGCACCCTTTTCATGCTGTTTTTTTGGGCGGTATTCATATCTGCGGAATGCGGATATACTTTTCTCTGCTCATTTACCCATTGTATAATTATATAACTTGCTGGGATTAGGTGTTTAGTATATTGAATCATTGAAATTTAATTCTTATCTATAAAATAGCTTAAACTTGAATAACATAATTATAAATCAATTTAATCTTGAATAACATGAAACATTTTTGTATGTAATTCAAATTATAAAATATCAAAACATATAATGATTTGTAAGAATGTATTTTCTTAATTTTTAACTTGTAAAGGATATACTTCCTATGTTTTTTCCCTCTTTTTTTTAACTGTGTTTTTTTAAGTTCTTCCCACTTGATTTATTAGAGGCAAACACATTATTCTATCCTGCCCCATTTCCCCTCAATATATCCACCCTTTCTTACACCCATGGCCCACTAACCCTGAAATGACTCGACCCATACCTAACCCAAACGACCTGATTGCTTGATCTAGTAACCACCAAGTAAGAACCATGTCACGAATTGGCAAAAAATCTAGCTAGTTCGAGTAATATTTAAACCGAAAGAGACTTTTTAAATGATCTTAAGAGTTCCATAGTACTTAAAAGGAAACCTTTTTGATGAAGCAAGTCTATCTACTGAATTAATTAGAGGTACATTGCTTCTATTTTCAACATGGTTACGTGTCCAAGCATCCAACTTGGCTGTTTGGTGAAAAAAATCCTTAAAAGTGAAGTGCCCTAGTGTCATACCCATGTCTTAAGTATTGGGGGTCCAACACGGGTACTTGAGGTGAAATGTAGAGTCTGAGTAACATAACATTACTATCTTATTTATAGTTGAACAGGGATTTCAATTATACTCATAGAATTTATAGAACATGTGAGGTTTGATGCCATTATGGCCAAATTTGTGGGTGAAAAATAGGACAGTGGCTCAACTTATGTTGCCATTGTTATGTTTGTTCTGCAACTTATTTATCTATCTCCCTCAGTGTTTAGCTTGCTATCTTTTATTTTTCAGTGGCTGTAATTATTCTTCCCTTTGTTAATGCTTAATGAATCTTTATGGGCTAGTAACTGCGAGGATGCAATAAGCCGTTTCTTGTAGTGTCTGAAGGCTTTGAACTGAATCCAGTTTTTCTTTTGTGTCTCTGTGCAGGAGCTTCTGCTGCCCAAGCTCCAAATGTGATTTATCCCAGTGAGATTGATGGAATTCCAAGGATCTCTCTACCAGTCTTTGGACTTTCTTCATACAAATTCAGAGGGCCCTTGTGGATCTCAAACAGTGGGAGTGATCGTCAATTAGTGAACTCGCTCTCACAGGCAGCTGATAGCTGGTTGAGACAGCTTCAGGTCCATCACCCTGACTACCTGTTCTTCTGCCGTCATAGATGATGTTGATAAGTAGACTGTTACTGTACAATGCCTGCCATTTTGGAGGAATGTCTGGTCTTCTCTGAAAGACATTGCCATCTGATCAAGGTGTCAGGTGGCTGCTGAGTTTAGAGTCTTTCTCTGACTTTTTCTAGTCATCTGTATATCAATGAGGTTAAATATATCAAAAATTCAAAAAAAAAAAAAAAAAAAAAAGGGAAAATAACAAAAAAAAAAAAAAAAAAAGGTAAAAAGAAAACAAAAGAAAAAAGGAGTCAAAGGCGGTTTACTGCCAGTACAGGTGAAAGGTTTAGGTCTGGCTGGATTGGGATAGAAACAGGATAGGTTTAGTTAAGCTAAAGCATGGCTGAGGCAGACAAGGCTTGCAATCAGGAGGAGCAGGCTTAGAGTTTAATTTCATTGTTAACTTTTTTTTTTTTTAGATATCTGCATATGGGAAACAGGCTTCTGGTTTTTACTATTTAAATCCCTTGCCCTAGTCAGTTACTTAAATTTAGCTGATCTAATGTTTAGTAGGGGATTTTGATATGTTTGTAACAGGAGTATATGAGCTTTTGTGCGGACTTATTGTTGTCATATATATATATATAAAGAGTAGTTTTATAGTGTAAAATAGATTGGAGTTATTTTTAGCATCTCTGCTTCTGCTCTTCTAAGATATGATGCTAAACTGTTTGTTGTTTTTTGGCGTCAGTTGCATATATATGAGCTGTCTGTTTATTTTTATCTTTTGCAAGGAGAAAGACCTTACTAGTTCTGTCAGCACGGCTACACAACTCGTTGTTTGAGAGTAGGGGAGATGTCAATGGAATCCCCGTCTCTCAAGCACAAGTATTTGTTACTGAGCTTTGTGGCCTGGCGAGTTCCCCACTAATCCACTATCTTCCCAAGCTTGCTTGTTTGTGTATGGGTGATTGGTATCGGTATAAAGTACTGCAAGTTTTGCCCCTTTGTTGGGTTTGATCAAATATCGAGGGTTAAATTGGTGAGGCTTGCAATGTAGGTTTTTATTTTGTCAAAGAAAAGAACCTGCTGATATGATACTAAACAGATAGTTGGCAATTCAGTAATCCTAAAAAGCTAATGATACAATTAGTCTAAACAGACTGTTTACCAATCCAGTAAACCTGAAAAAACTAATGATACAATCAGCAAAGACAAGTCACCAGATGAGGTTGTAGGCTTATAAGTTATAACTTTGTTCATATGGTTCAATTATGATTATGTCAAAGCCATAAAAGCTCATTTAACATAAGCAAAAGCAGTATGAATGAATTGTCACAAATATCACAAAACTTGAAGCTATAGACTAGTCAAGTTGTTAATATTATTCACTATGCGCCTTAAATAATATTTGATATCATTAAATTCACAACATTAGGCTGAAGAAGTGTAATACCATTTTACACTACATAAATTTTGGTATGTTAAACTCACATCACATTTTTCTTACGTCAATTAAAGAGATGAAGAAATAAAATTGAAAGGGTATGTTAACAATTCAAGACAATCATCCTATACGTTTGTAATTGTATATCCATAGGAGTCGCACCTTTCATGTATTTTCCTCATTTTATGAGAAGTAATTCCTCATAAACCTCTTCAATACCTTTTTTATTCTTCTAAAAAATGTTGTAATTTTCCTATGTAATTTAGTTTCTAGAGGTGGCCGATTGTGCGGGCTGGGTATGTTAGGGTCGGGTTATGTGGGTTGTTGGTTGGGTAGGTTGTTTAGGCAGGTCGTGGGTTATGTTTGGGTAGGTTAGTGTGTGTTAGATGGGTATTAAGGCTGAGATCAAGTGTACCGCTGAAGTTTTGCTTATCAAGTTACGATGAACATAATTAGACAAGCATGATATCCAATTTGATATTTTAATATAGTTCTAATTAATCGCAAATTTTAAGATGCACCATGGTCACGCCTGTACTTTTGAACAATCAGTAAAAAAAATCTGAACAATTGCAAATTTTGAACATGTAGTAAAAACATCTGAACATCGCAAATTTTGAACATTTAATTAAGAAATCTAAACAATTACAATGCATCATGCCTAACTTTTGAACATTTAGTAAAAGAAATCTGAACAATCAAGAATTTTGAACATTTAGTTAAAAAATCTGAACATCACAATTTTGAACCTTTAGTAAAAAAAAAAAACTGAACAATCGCAATGCACCACGCCTATAATTTTGAACTTTTAGTAAAAAAAATATGAACAATAAAATATTTTGAACATTTAGTAAAAAAATCTGAACAATCGCAACTTTTGAATTATTACGAGTCAGACAAATTTTGAACTGACTCGTAATAATTCAATAGTTTTGTAATATAAACTGAACATTTAATGTATACAAAATGAACATTTATTGATAAAATATGAACATTAAAATTGCATGTTTATGTTCAATTTTTGTGACGTGTTCATATTCTTTTTACTAAATGTTCATTTTTTGTAAAATGTTCAATTTTTTTTACTAAATGTTCAAAAGTATAGTCGTGGTGCACATAATACTAATTGCTAATTAATCATACTAAGTTCAAATTCATTGGATCAATAGAGTGGGCCAAGGGGGTGGTCTAGTTGGGTTGTGTGTTGTTGGCTAGTCCACTTTAATGGGTCGTGTGGGTTGGGTTCATGTGTTGAATGTCTAGTATCAGATTGAGTTGTGACAGCTTATGTTAGCTCGAATCCAAGCCAAATTTAGTGGACCCATCAGCTGTGTAGATTAAGATGTATCGTTATCAATCCGACGCACTAACGACCTCTATATGTCAACCAAACGGCCAAAAAAACACATGAAAAAATTCATCAAAAAGGTAAGTGACATTTGACTTGTCACCCCCCCTTCCCCCTTCTCCAAGCCCAATTTCTTGGTCACCATTGAAGCAACCTCAAAGTGAATAAAAGGGCAATACATATGGCATGTGAAGATGCCACGTAGCCTACATTCGTACTAATTGAAAGCTGTCACATAAACTAATAGTGGCTACAGTTCTCACATGTTTGAAGTTGGATCCTATAATACACCCAATTTCCCATCTTTTATCTTTTTCTCGTGGGCCCGGATCTCTTCCACTAGCCCATTTCCAAATCTGTCAAATCAATATTTTTTTTCTTTTATCAAGAATATGAGTTACTTGTAATTTTGTAAAATAAACAATAGATAATGTCACCTTCTTGCATTATCATTCATTAAATTCCTCTTTTAGCTTTTTTAATACTACCTCCAAGCTGCCCTCATTACATCACTCTTACATTAAAAATCAACCAATTTGTACTTCATTATTGATTTACTAAAACCCCAAATTGTTTACTTCATCCATTTTTTTTTTAACTTTTGCGTATAATATTGAAAATTTTACATTATTTATGCATACTCTTCTATATTTGTGTTACCAAATATTTACTTTTAAAATATAATTTTAAATAATTTATAATAATATAAAATAAACTACCGTATATTGATAAGCTTGAAATTACAAATATTTCCATTACAAAAGAACCGAGGAAATTTATAAAATAAATTCAACGGTCCAAGATATGGTGCTCATCCTGAACATCCCCACCTAGACAAATTCAACTACTACTTCACAATCACAATACAATGTTAATAACAATGGAGTCAAATACCCCTTTCAAGTCAAACTCAAAGAGCCTCCTTAAACTTTACATTTCTTGGTACCTACTAAATAATACACACTTTCTCTTACCCCCAATTCATAAATCAGCTTCTTCTTCTCCATCATATAATGAGTGATGCTGAATTCATGAACTTTTATTTATTTTATTCAATCTTTAAAAAAAATAAGAAGAAAAAATGCTGCTTTTTCTGTAAGTCAAACTTATTCAATCTAACTCTGTTACTTCAGTTTCATCTTCTGCTCTCATTATCAGAAAATCATTATGGTGATTGCGAGCCCAGAAAATGTGGGAATCAAATCATAAAGTATCCATTTCATATACAAAATGATCAAAAACCATATTGTGGGTATCCTGGTTTTGGGGTGTCCTGCAATTCTGACAGTTTTCCTGTGTTCAATATATCAGGAGATGCTTATATTATTAAAAATATTTCTTATGAAAGTCAGAAGTTTCAAGTCATAAACTCAGCTCTTGTTAAAGAGGTTCCGAGTAGCCAGGGTTGTTTCCATTCTCTTCATAATCTGTCGATACAGAATGATCTGATGAAGTTCTCGACGTATCATGATTATGTATACGTGTTTCCTGATTGTCCAGAGAAGGTTTTGAAAGAATACAGGGATAAAAGAGTGAATTGTGGGAGTTTGGCAATGTATAAGAATGACTCAAAATTGCAGTATTTGGAGAAAAAGTGCAAAGGAGTTGTTATTGAAGTTCCTTATAATAATGAGGGTCAGACTAAAGGCAAAGTTATGGATATGCTTGAAAGGGGAGTGTTGTTGAACTGGAAAGCCTATAATTGTACTGCCTGCTTAGAAACTGGAGGGCAGTGTGGGTTTGATGAGCCTAATAATCAATTCAATTGTTTCTGTCTTGATCGAACTCATGCTCTTCATTGTCCTCCAATTCAACAGGTTCATAGTAAGTCTCTCCACTTTTTTCCCTCTTACTGTCTTCACCCTTGTGTGTGTGCGTGCGTGCGTGTGCGTGTGTATGTGTGGAAGTGCAATGTGTTATGAAGAGTTCGGGGCAATGAAGTTAAGATTTTGTAGCAAATTTGGTTAGAAGAGAATCTAAGGGGCAATGATGTAGTCTTTCTTTAATTTAAGTTGTATGCATTTTTATGTGGTGGTTATGCTATTTTTGTAAATGTTTGATGTTTTGTTTGTGCACTTTGTTTTTGGAATTAATATTTCCAAGAAAGGCTACAGCTTATAAGAATACTTTGGACTTGTTTTGTTGCTTAGTACGGTAATTTCTAGATTTCTTGGACAACCCTGAGTTAGTTGCTCATTAAATTCAGTTTGAAAGGGTTTCCGAATCATAAGGTATTAAGTTTAGTGGATACTACTTTGTATGGTCAAGCAAATAGATCACAAAGGCCAGTAAAATGAAAGCATCATGAGCTGCTACCTGACTTTTCTGAGCTCCTATGTTAGTCCTTGACTTCGACCTTTAGTCTTGAGTTTAGAATTTAATTCATATTGTTTATGCTCAAAAAGCCAGCATTTAATGCACTTTTTTTGGCAGTCCCATAATAGTGCCCATTTTTGGCTATCTCTTTGTCCTTGCGATCTCACTCAAACCCATCTTTCACGTTTGTGCCTATCTGCAAAGATTAGCCTAATATTCACTTTTAACTCTACTGTTGTGAAGCATGTGTGCTAAGTAAATGCTGAGAAGTGGCTAGACTGGCTATCCTGATTTAGAGTGCAAGTCTTTAACTGATATGCCTTCCTATGACGCGTTCCTTCAGTCCTCAACATTACTCTGACAGTAGGAGATATTGTTACTTTGCTATGAAATTTTCACAAAGTAGCTACTAGACTAAATAGAAAGAGTAAGGCGATTTCAATCATTGCTTCCATGAGCGCCAACATAGGGTAGATTTTATTGCTTATTAGAAGTAGATTTAGCTTGCAGAGTTGGCTAGTTGACTCTGAAGATCTGTCCTCATGCAACCGTATTCTTGTCTGATTAACCAAAGAGATAGTTTATCATATTGATTGTCCAATATGCAAATCAGAATTTTGATGTGGACCAACTGTCTTTTTTAAAGCCTTATTTTTGTAGTTAAAGGTTAAAAATTTCAGAGTTCCTGAAGTCATTTTGCATAAATAAATTTCGAGTCTTTAATCAATTATAAATTATCTTAATTAGGACTTTTTTTATATTTCTTTACCAGTTTTTGACCAGATTAATCTTATCATAGCTAATAGTCTCAGTCAGAAAAGTGCTTGTTTGTAGAAACTTCCATCCCACATTCTCACTTGTCTTAATAAAGCTTGTCTAATCAACTATTCAAGGAGGCTCAATACTTAGCTACCCTGGTAAGTTTCCCTAATCCACTCTCAAAAACTTATATATGATACCCTTAACTTGATGCATCTTTCCAATTTTAGACATGGTGCCAGCTGTTTTTCCCGAGAATTTCTAAAATGAAAAGAATCAGAGTAGTAATTGCTAGTAAATTAGCAAAATCAAAGTAGTAGTAGTAGGTTTTGAACGGTTGTTAAAAGTCAAATTGATTAAGAATACCAACTTTAAAGACTTGACTATAAACTCCCATAAAAGGCTCATTCTCTTTTTACATTGCACCTTGTTCATTCCTTCGATCCAAGCAGGCCACTCGGATTTACTTTCCAAAAATGAATCCATTCTACAAGCTGAGTAGCCTATTCATCTCAATCCTCTCCTTTCTAACATATCGTTCTTTGGCTTTAGATCATTATTTTAAAGACTGTACGCCTAGAGTATGTGGAAGCATTTCCATCTCTTACCCTTTCTACATTTCAGGCCTACAGAAACCCTTCTGTGGCCAACAGGGTTTCGAAGTCACTTGTAATAGCAAAAATCATCTAATCATTAATCTCTCCAATGATACATATGCTATTCAAGGAATTTTTTATGAATTTCAATCCATGCATATTCTGAACACTGCCTTCATCGATGCTACTTTCAATTGCACTCTCGGTCTTCATAGCTTCACCTTGGATGAGAATAGATTCAAGTTTGCTTGTACACATAGTGAGGTATTCTTGCTGCAAGATTGCAACAATAAAGTTAAAAACAGCATAGGAGAATATAAGGAGGAGTCATGCATCTCTAATAATAAAAGTAGGGGCAATCTTATTGGCATATATGCACAAGGTAGAAATTTAAGTCAATTTGCTGGCAAATGCAAAAAAGTAGTTTCAGTGCCATATGAAGGAAAGAATGTAACTGATATTGACGGTGCTTTAAGGATGGGGGTTCAGCTGAAATGGAATGCTACTAATTGTAGAGAGTGTGCTAAAAGCGGAGGTAGATGTGGATATCATAATGAAACTAGTTTACAGATGCAGTGTTTCTGTCCTTATGGTGTTCATTCTCTGATTCTCATAGATGTCCGAGTAAGTTTCTATCTTTATGTCTCTTACTATCTCCAAGTTTTCTCTAACAGGAATATATTTCTATGGTCTATGGGTTGAATTTTAGCCCCGTTGCAGATATTTTAAATTGATACAAACATATGGCGTTGGCTGTCCATGCTCTTATAAATTCATTTCTTAAAATTGTTTTCAGTTCACTCAAGATCTTGGTCACCTATAATTTGATGCTTGATTTGTGTTTCCTGCCTTTTTTTTCTCAGAACGTATAGTATGACTACTCATTCTGAAATAAATGGGCATTAGGATTAGATTGTATCAGTTTCTATAACTTTATGATATTTCTTGATAAAACGAAACTAACAATGCAACTTTCTTACATTATACTAACTCTTGTTTCGTTACTCCATCTATGATATTCAATTGTTATTTACAACTCATCTAGATTAGTAGAAAAATAAAACGTGTGACATCAGTATAACATATCCCAGTACAAAAAACAACAAAATCGTCTGAATCACATAAAGGAGTGAAATATGCTGTTATGCTAAATCTGCATTTTTAACACAAAACAGTATAGAGATAAACATTGCAACTATCTATTCATTTTTTTCTATGAAAAGGCTTTTTTTAGGTTAACCTATTTTGTCTGGAAATGCTGTCTCTGAAATCATCTAAGTTCTGATTATCTGACTTATTTTGTAAGACCATATTTTGTGTGAAAAAATAGAAACTTATATTTAGGTTTGTGATTTTGTTTGAAACTGTTGTGTAAAATAAAAATAGTTACTTATTTTTGTCTGAACTTTTCTGGATTTATTTTAACTTATACGGACTTATTTTGTCTGAAATAAAGCAGAAAAGTTGAATAAGATAAAACAAGTAGACCCTTACTCTTCTGTGTCAGTCTTTTTTTAATTTTTTTTTAATTATTTTATTGAGGTGCAAGTTTTCTTTATGCTATAATCTTTTAAAAAATGTCTTGCAAAGCTGTCCCACAACTAGTGGTGGCTCAAACTCTTTGATTGTTGCATAGTAGTTTTCATGTGAGTTGATCATAGAGAACTTTCCTTCTTAGGATATTCTTAGTGATCAGATAGCAAATGTTTTTGTTTTTTTTCCTGAGCTAATATTAATGATTGGATCATTGGATGGTAAATGTTTTGATTATTAATTTATTATGATATGAAATAAGCTATACAAGCCTTTATTTTTAATATTTTTTGCAAAATCTAACAAAATTATTACCTTTTCTTTTTGGTACCAAATCCACCACTAATATTAATGTGGGAAACTGCGTAGGAAAATCATTAAAAGCTGGACCATACCTAAGAAGACAAATGTTCATTGACAGGTCATAGAAATTGACCAAGTCTTTGAATATGCAAATTGCAAGGAATGTATACAAGTTGAACTAGTATATGTTGAATAGTTGTAGTTAGTGTGTGAAATGCTTCAGCTCCTTCAAGTATAAGTAGCAATTGTAAGGAAACTTAATAATTGTTCATATATCAACTTGGCAAGTAAGCCATATGGACCTTACAACGATCCGGAACATACATAGATTACAATGTATTTGAGAATGAGATAACAATTTGGTGATTAGAGAGTAAAAATTATTGATTATGAAAACACTAAGCAGTTTTTTGCATTAGTGTAGGTAGTTGTTGCTCTCGAAAATATTATAATTTCTTTATTTTGTTTGTGATCGGCATTCATATGACTTTCTAGTCCCTGCAACTCTGCAAGGGGATAAACTGCAGTCACACATCATAAAGCTTGCAGTTGTTTGATTGCATAAATACAGTAGATGGTTTGACACAAGCTTCATGGTTATGTTCTTATTTATGTGATTACACCCTTAACTCCCTAATTCAAAGGACTTGGCATCTTTTCTTTCATTATCTTGATATCAATGTTTATTTGAGCATACATGTATTTCCTTGCTTGTTGCTACAGCACTGAATTGAAGTTCATGTGTTTTTACTTTTTTGTAGAGAAGTCTCGGTGGCATCTAATTCTTGGATTAGGTAACTATTATATTCTCTTCTGATCAAATCCACCCGGTAGACTTTCATACTTTGTGTAACTTTGATTTGGCTTTTGGATCCTGTAACTTAACTGACTCATGAACTCACCAAACATCAGGCATTGGAGGGCTTGTGCTTGTGTTTCTAGCATTTCTAGCCGGCTGGCACCGTAAGAAGCTGAAATTTGGTCACTCAAAATATGTGAGTCGGAGTGTGTCCCTTGATCGGAGTGCATCAGACCTCGAAAGGGGAAACATATACTTTGGCATTCCACTTTTCACCTACAGTGAACTAATTGAAGCCACTGACAATTTCAATGAGTCTAGAGAGCTTGGTGATGGAGGCTTCGGAACAGTTTATTATGGTAAGCTTTAATTTTCCTGTACTACTAAAAAATATAGCCTAAACCTCATTAAGCAAGTAGCTAATAAAAATTTCAACCATAGGAAAGCTAAAAGATGGTAGGGAAGTAGCAGTAAAGCGGCTGTACGAAAAGAGCTTCAGAAGGGTGGAACAGTTCATGAATGAAATTCAGATACTCACGCGTTTGAGACACCAAAACCTTGTAACTCTTTATGGATGCACTTCCCAGCACTGCAGGGAGTTACTGCTTGTATACGAGTATGTGGAAAATGGGACTGTGGCAGATCATCTGTTTGGTGAAAAGGCAAAACCCGGATCACTCACATGGCCCATCCGCCTCAGAATTGCCATTGAAACAGCCAGTGCACTTTCATACCTTCATGCTTCTGATATTATACACCGTGATGTCAAAACTAGCAACATTCTCCTTGACAGCAACTACAAAGTTAGGGTGGCTGATTTCGGACTTTCTAGACTCTTTCCTACTGATGTAACTCATGTCTCAACAGCACCACAGGGGACTCCTGGGTACGTAGACCCGGAGTACCACCAATGTTATCAGCTAACTGATAGAAGTGATGTTTACAGCTTCGGGGTTGTTCTCATTGAGCTTATTTCTTCTCTGCCTGCAATTGACTTGGAGAGGAATAGAAGTGAGATCAACTTGTCTAACTACGCGATGAACAGGATCCAACGATGTGCATTTGATGAGTTGGTAGACCCGCAACTAGGCTTTGCCTCAGATTTTAAGGTTAAGAAGATGACTACTTTGGTGGCAGAGCTCGCATTCCAGTGCTTACAACATGACAAGGAATTCAGACCATCTATGGATGAGATTTTGGAGTCACTGAATAGGATAGAGAGTTCCGATTATGATGCTTTGCAGGAAGAAGAGATGGCTAATGATACTGGGGAAGTGGTGAAAACACAAAGTAGTTGTCCACCACCTTCATCTATAGATGATGATCATGCACAGTTGTTAAATACTCGTCAGCTGCATCCGCCTTCTCCAATTTCTGTAATGGATAAATGGGACAGTAGATCCACTATACAAAGCAAAGACAAGTAAGTTGATGTTTTATGTTTATTACTTTTTGGAAAATAACATTGGTAAGCAATTAAAATGATAAAGAGGAACCTTTTGGCACCTCAAGCTCTAGGTAGTGTAACCATGAAATCGTGTTTTTACTCGTATAATGGTCCATATCTGACTATGAACTATGCACATATTTGGAATTTTTGATGTAAGAAATGTATAGAGGAGATTAATCCACATTCTGCAGTACTGCTTCAAATCTCAGTGAACTGTGTTTAGAGCGCTCGCTGTTATTTGGAGAATGCTTCTTGAAAACTGTCTTAACACCTTGCAATATCTTAAATTGATGTATCACAAAATCATCATTATGATTTCTCTGTTTTTTAATATTTTTCGTCTTAAGAAAGTTAGTCTAAGTACTACATTATGTAACATATTAGACGTTATATAATAGTTTAGATTAGTTGCAAGTTCAATATCATATGTTGCAGGTGACTCAACTATGTAGATGACTGAAAGCAGTATTTTCAAACTGCAAGTAAGCGGTTCAGGAATCAGGACATAATAGCCTCACGCCAGCAGCTTACTGATATATAAGATCGATTTTTGTCAGTTCAGGTAGTGTTGGTGCAGATGCTAACTTGCAGTTCATTAGTAGAGCCATGGAAATTGGCCTCACATATATCTGATTTAAGTTACCACAGGTAGTACATAACTGGTGTTGCTTTCAGCATCTTGAACAGAATCCAAAGCTTCATTGGGAGTATTTTTAAGTGGTAGAATGAGCACTGACCAAATAGCAGGTATAAAATAATTTTTCACCGTGACTCTCTCCGTCCCTAAATAATAAACATTAATTTTGTTAAGTTGTCAAAAAAAAAAGTCATTCTTTATATTCCATTTAAAAAAAAAGTCATTATTTATATTAGGGTAATGCTATACATAGCCCTTACGGCTATATATAAGCATTAAAAACACTCTTGAAAATTGTATAAAATTAGGAATTTATGACAAAAACACGCGTAGATCAGTGTAATTAATGTGAACTTGTCATGAACTTGTCATGATTTTTTAAATTTAAACAGTTTTCAAGAGTATTTTTAATGCTTATAGTTAGCCCTAAGGGCTATGTATAGCATTTTCCTTTATATTAAGCTATTAAACTTTTACTTTTAAATTATCTTAATGATGTAGTAACCTATGATTGGTTTAGACATATAGTAAAACTAGGTTAAACCCCGTTGTTCAATAATTATTAAAAACATCATTTTTGTTAGGCTACGTATAAAGTTATATTGAACAATTTAATAAATATCAAGATATAATTTTTTTAACAAAGCCACATATAAATTATATTGAACAATTAAATATTTTAGAAAGTTTGGTTTATTTTTTTATGTAAAGCAAATGTAATAAATCAAATGCAATCCTTTTTTAGTAGTTATAATGTTTAGAGCAAGGATTATTGTGGAAGATAAATATTTTTAGCAAGTATTATTAGAGGGAAAATTTTTAATAAAATGTTGTCAAGTGCCCCTATTAGTTTTGCATTTAGTAATATGTAATAGATTATGAATTTAAAAATAATTACAAATCAGGAGTCTTTACCTGATAACGATCAACATTTGTCCAAATATTAAGTTCCCTAGTGTTGGAATAATCTTCTAACAATGGTGAGTATCATTTTCTCATGAAGATTCAAGTATTAAAATTGAATTTTGCCTTTGTGGACATGAGGAAAGATGCCGCTCCTAGGAAAAGTATGATTAGTTCTGAGATTTCCATGAAGTCCAGAATGAGCGCATGACCATAATAGTGCTACCGGTTTTATAAATGTGTAAGTATGATACGACTCATACGAGTAGTAGATATTATGCCTCCATCAATGTTGTTACTAATTTAACAACTCGTTTGACAGCTAGTAATAAACGGTGGTAATGGGAAAGAATTTTATCTACTACAGCAAGTCTAGCAGAAACTATATCATTGACTAAGAATAAGCTGATCAACTCTTATTTATGAACTAAATTGTAAATGTTCTAAATAAATATGACAATGCATACTTCAGCCTTAATCGAGTGATAAGCCAATAGTGATATGATCCAAACATGATCTTACCAAAGCATGACCCAGACTTCACTTAATCTGGCTTTAAAATGATCCCATCCAAAAATGACTTAAACCCAATTGTATAACAAGTTGATTAACCTGATAATTACCTTTCCCAAACTTGATTTGAACCCGAAATAACCCCATAGTAGACTGTTTCTAACCTCGAATTGTCGAACCCAAAATGAACAAACACAAACCCGACCTAGTTAACTAATTTGATAGGTCTATGCCGGGGAAGTCTTATTATAACATCATTGTTCGACACATAACAAATTAACAATGACAATTTTATAAATAATAATATTTTAAGAGTACTACTAAAAGGTAATATATGAAATAATACTACTAAACTTTCTCAGTAGTACTATATATAATTCCATTAATATAAAACAAACTATAATAAAAGAACATCTCAATAATAAAAGGTGGATGTACAATTTTACTTATGTCGAATGGTGATGTATTATAATTTCCTGTTGTACGCCTAAATGCCTAACTACCTTAAGTCCCTCATATAAATTTTTCTGTTTTTATTACTAGGGTAGATCCAAGACACCATGGTCCACCAGAGTTGGTATAGGTTCTTTTATTAGGCCAACCAGGCATCCATCTTTTAAAGAAACAAAGAAAAGTTAGACAAAAACAAAGATCGGAAACTTCAGCGGATTATAATAATAATAAAGCTTACAAATTATTTATTTATTTATTTTTAAAATCCGCCTTTGTGAACACAATAAAATTAAATCATTCTAATAATTGTAGTTATCAGAAAAGTCATCAATATTTTTCAATTCTAGAGGATGATTCGTCTTGCTAGAGAGTAAACTAAACATCACCCTGGCCCCACATTCCCCAACAATTACCCATTTTTTTCTTTCTAGTCTTTATCATTATCCACCAAGTCAATACTATGATTTTCAAGTCAAATGCGTGTAATACTAATCTTAGTAAATAAGATTTTATTATTACTCGTATTGAATAATACTCTATTTGTCCACAAATAATCTTCCTGTATTCTATATATATTAAGATCTTTATAGAATAATATTTTACTTTTATTTCTCTCAAAATTTCACTTTACTAATAAATTTTTAATGTGCATGTTCAATTAATCCTAATAAATCAAATAAGAAGTCGAGAAGATTATTTGAAAACGGATGAAGTAATAGAAGAGTATGAGTATTTAAAGTAATCTCACTTATATTAAACAAAAGGAGGATATTTTTCCATATACTTGTACATAACTTTAGAAGTAGTGGCTTCTGTTGTCTGATAACAGTGACAAGGGTCCTCAGATGGCTTCTGCTTTTGTTGCCCTGATTTTTTTTCTCTTAAACTTTGTACAAAATCTCTCAGCTCAAGATCAAAAGAGGCATGTCTGCCCAACTACCTTTCAGTGTGGAACACTTGGTACCTTCGGTTACCCCCTCACGACCGCCTTCAACCCGACCTGTGGGATTTGTGTGATCAACTGTACTGATACGACTCCGACGATTGGTTTATCACCCACAGGACCTTGGTATGAAATTAAGAATTCCTTTTCAAATAACAGGAGTTTCCTTGTCAGTGATGCGCTCCTCGAATATGTCGTGAACTCTGACACTTGTGATGCCTTTAAAGGTAAAACCATTAGCCTTCCAAAATCTACTGCTGTCATCATCACAACCTTGTGGAATGAAACATTTTGGAAGTGCAAGAGGAACTTCAATTTGAGCAGCAAAGGCAGCTTTCTTCGTATACTTAAGTGTCGAGATTACAATATTTATCATAGTAATAATAGCTCAGAAGATGGCAGCAAATTTTCCGACTGCAAGTCTTTTAAGTATCCGAAATTTCTGATAGTAGAATTGTCTGATAAATGTTCACACTGTGTTAGTAAAGGAGGCTATTGTCAGGAAACCAAACCTGACAAATTTCAGTGCATCAACAACCGAAAAGGTAACAGAGAAGGATCATATCTGTGTACTCTTCAATCATAATATATCGCCTTTTATGCAATTTATACTAAAGCTTTATTAATGTCTAATGATCATCTTTGCAGAAAGGAGGAGATTCAGACTACTTTTGGGATTAGGTAAATTATGGTACAATAATTAACTTTCCTTGAAAGTTTACTGTTATTGAGAAAACTAAGTACAAATCCTTATTCCTTTTTAGGCATTTCAGGAGGAATCGTTGTCATTATAATCTTTGGGCTGCTATTCTGGTGTAGTAAGAAAATAAAACTCAGATCACTGGAATTGGCTTCAGGGAACAATTCTAAGCAAACCATGAGAATGAAAACGAACCTTGAGGGGAGCAAGGTGTATTTTACTGTACCAGTCTTCTCTTACAGCGAGCTCGAAGAAGCAACAAAAAATTTTGATCCCAGTAATGAGCTTGGAGATGGAGGCTTTGGAACTGTTTATTACGGTAAGAAACATTACGAGTTTCAGGGCTGTAGGAAGCTCTTTTTTGCCATCTGCTGTCATTAACACTTGTAGCAGTTAAATCATGAAGTTGTATCAATATAGTTTCGTTTTAAACACTTCATGATCTAACAAGTAACATAAACATTTCTATATTTGTCAGGAAAACTAAAAGACAGGAGAGAAGTTGCAGTGAAGCGCCTATATGAGAGAAACTGCAGACAGATCGAACTGTATATGAATGAGATTGAAATCCTTGCCTGCCTTCGCCATCAGAATCTAGTTACCCTTTATGGATGTACTTCACGGAGAAGCAGAGAACTCCTACTTGTCTATGAATATGTTCCCAATGGTACAGTGGCTGATCACTTAGTTGGTGATCAAGCAATGTGTGCTACACTCACTTGGCCTGTCCGAATGAGGATTGCCATAGAAACAGCAACAGCATTGTCGTACCTCCATGCCTCAGATGTCATACACCGGGATGTTAAAACTCAGAATATTCTGTTGGACAACAACTTTAGTGTAAAGGTAGCAGATTTTGGATTATCAAGACTTTTTCCAATGGATGTTACTCATATATCGACTGCTCCACAAGGCACTCCTGGGTATCTTGATCCTGAGTACCATCAATGTTACCAGTTGACTGATAAGAGTGATGTATATAGCTTTGGTGTTGTTCTTGTCGAGCTCATTTCATCAATGCCAGCGGTTGATTTAACCAGGAAAGAAGATGAAATCAACTTGTCTTATTATGCAATGAAGAGAATTCAATGTTGTGCATTTGATGATTTAGTAGACAAACGACTAGGATTTGACTCAAATTACAAGGTGAAGAGGATGATTACCTTGGTGGCAGAGCTTGCTTTTCAGTGTCTGCAACACAAGAAAGAATTCAGGCCCTCAATGGATGAAGTTCTAGAAACGTTAAGAAGAATAGACAGTGCAGATTACGGAGTCCTTAAGTCAATAGAAAAGGAAGACAGTGCAGATTACAAAAAGTCAATAGAAAAGGAAGACAGTGATGCTTGGCTATTGAGTAATGCAGAAAACCTACCTTCACCGAATTCAGTAGTAATGTAAAAATGGGGCAGTAGCAAGTCCGCCACACCCACAGCCAGCAGATGAGGCAGCACCGAAACAAATGTATACCATAAACCAGAGTAAGTTCATCTACGCTCTCATATACCTGTTTTCACTGATATGCATGCAGTTACAGAGACCAAGTTGTCTTTAAATTTTGCTATGAAATATGAGATGTTTATACAACTGAGAAATACAGTGGATTTCTCACAGCATTTGTAACAATGAACCATTTGAAAACAATACACTTGCAAGTTGACACGAGATTGTTTTTCTGTTAGCAACGAGGAATTCAACAGAACAAATAAAATTTACACTCACCAGTACTTTGTGTTGCAGCAGACATAGTTGATAATGATGCATAAAATGTCACACAGTCCATCCAATGCCAATGCCAACGCCTATGGCAATGCTGTTTGATTTTTTTTTTTATTTTTTTTTTGTGTCCTTACATTACAACTCATTATCAATTTAACATGATATATAGTTAAAAAAACTATAGTCATGTTAAATCTTGTTGGATTCACCTTAATTTATTATTTCATATTATCAATTTTTTTTACGATTTTTTACTTATTGGTAATATTTGTGAGTATAAAAGTGCAAAGGTGCCATGGCAAACATGTAAGGAAATATTGTAGTAAAAAGAAACAAGAAACAAAGGAATTAGATGGTAACTAAATAGTAAATACTACCTCTGTTGGTAACTAAATACTACCTCCGTTTCCTATTATTTGCAACGATTTGACAAAAAATATGACTAAGAAATGTTTAATTGTTGCAAATAATTTGAAACGGAAGTAGTATTATAAATTACGCTTAGAGGTAAATAGGCATTACCATCAGGGGTATACAGGTAACTTGAGGTCATAGATTATTTCAAGTCCTCTCAAATAAACAAGTATGAGTAGTTGCTAAGCTTGCTGCGAAACGACATGACTATAGATCGAAAGTACAATGATTGAGCGTGCATAAACTTTTAAGTTTCTTTTTAAGAATAAGATCAACTTTGGTACTTGATTTGAGACATTAATCCCAAGACACAATCACCATCTTCTCCTCACTCCCATAAATCATCATGAATTTTACAATCATAGTTAATAAATTCAAATTTGAATTACCTTAGAAAACGTTATTCACCCAGGACTACATTTATATAAGTATAACTAGTCTCAGTACCCCAATAAACAAACCAAAACACAAGACAGATACAAGACTGTAGGAGGGAGGGAGAGGGAGAGAAATAGCGAGCAAAGAAATGGCGATGATCAGAAAATGTGGAATCAGCAGTAGCCCAACTCGCACCCCATTAACGCACCATCATGGGCGCCATCGGATGACTCTAGGGATGCTTCTTCTCAGTCCCATCGAAAGCGACAAGAAGCCAAATCCCCGGCAAACCTTGTTAAGGCAAGGGATCACTAGTAACAAGGCAGTTATTGGCAGAAACACATTGAAGAATTTAATGTCATCTACAACTAACCTATTTGAAAATACGAGTACAGAAGCAGATGATCACCATCAAGTTTTTGTGTTCCAAGAGCAGAAACCAATTGGAGGTGATACTTTGCCTCCACTGAAGAGTGGTAGCAGTACTAATCATGGCAGCCGAAGAGCTAGACAGGGGACAAACAGACCGGCCACTGCCTCTACAGGTCTCCGCATTCGGTTTTTCAAGCGAACTTGGCGTCCTGTGCTGGGTGCAATTCCAGAAGAAAATTCATTTTATGCACTACCTCATCTGTCTCTGCAGTGAATCTCGATCAAATCATACATTATACATGATTTTTCATACATACTTATGTAATGGGGCAACGGCAACTAGTTGGTTGCCCAATCCATGCTACTTATTCTTTATTTCTTCTTCTCCCAACTATTTTCATACCTGTAGCCATTTTTTTTTATGATATGAATTGAACATTCATATATAATGATATGAAAAGAGGCTAAGTCACTAACTCACTAAGATACATTATAAGGCAAAACGTAAACATCCATGATCAGATCCAGATCAAAGAAGAGAAAAAATATATATATATCTACTGTATAAAAGCTTCATGATTTATAATCAGTAATCAGTTTACAATTCTTTGTTACTTTCTCCAACTACAAGTGAATAGTCCAATATGTAAACTTTGACCATAAGAATCTAAAAGCTACCATAAGAATCTGAAAGTCGTGTTAATGTGCAATTGTATTGATTGATTTAGTTTCAAAAGCAGCTAATTTTAATTATATGCAACACACAAATTTATTAATTGCGTGAAATTTGTATATTAGTACCAACTGATGTGGTTGAATAACATCACAAATTAACTATCACACAGAGTGGAGACAAACAATTTTAGATGCTTTCGGCAACTCACAATTGCACCAAATTGAGAAAAGAAAAACATCTTTTTTTTTTTTGGAACAAAGAAACTTAATCATTTACCATAAGCATCATATATTACATCTAATTTCTAATACATCTCAATTTTCTTGCAACTCAGCACAATCAGCTCTTAAGTGTCACTAAAGTACTGAGTTTTTACAAGTTTGAATTTTCCTCCTTTTTCAATCAATACTGAATCACTGACTACATTAAGACTGTAACTAAAAATAACGACTACTTTCCTACATTGCTACACGACTAAACCCCGATTGTCAAAGGCCTTCACGTCACCAAGATCACTACAGCCAGAGTTACAAGTTCTTCTAGGGAGCCCAAATAACCAGCAATACTATTTGTTGGAACAACAAGTGTGTAGTGTGTGAATTTTGTGAAAAAACTCAAAGTCCCACATTGGTGGGAAATGAGAGTTTTACTCTCTTTATAATATAGAGAGTGGGCTAAAGGGGTGTGGCCCTTGGGCTACCCACATTTTGTGGAGAGGGAGGACCTATATGGTAAACCATCTATCACACACACGCGCGCCGAGCCGGGTCGGGTCGGGTTTATAAATTAAACTTATTTTTTGGACAAGGCTAATTGCGTGATTAGTTCCTTGATTTTTGCTAAACGTTTTTGACTGATTACATTTGACCGTTTTTTCAAAACTGATTAATGGAGCGTTAATCATGCAAACATTTTCACTGATTTTTTGCTAAACGCTTTGCCACGCATTAATCTTCTGTAACCGTTTTGAACGTTCAACTTATGACCGTTTTAATTGCGTGATTAGTGCCTAATTAAACAACAGCAGTTACGTTGCAATTTTGCCTATAAAAGGCGTGTTGATTTCCTGTTTTTAAGACACAAAAAAAATAAACAGAAAGCAATCTTCTTCTCCTCTCTATTTTTCCTCACAAAAAAAACCCTCGAGCAGTTTCTTTTCTTTTTGGTGTTTAGTTGCCCGGTGGTTTTGTGCAGTTCCACCGGTATAATTACAATAGAGAAAGGCTGTTTTATCCTTGGGAACATCCGGTTTAGTACGAACTGCTTGCACATTTTCAGGGCAGTGCCGTGAATGTTCTAAAGAGAGCGACATAGTCCGCGACTCAGTCTAATTTTCGGTAACTTTGTTCTTACTGTTTTTGTTCCCGCAGTTCTGTTTTAACACTATTATGCCAAAAAGCTTTAGATTCTCCCTAGATGGATACAGATGTACTGATATATCATATTAGTTCAACAAAGCACGAAAACAAAAAAACAAAAGGAACATATAATACATGCAGTGCAATGTTTCCACATGGTATCAGGGGAAGGATAAGGTTGAGTAGAAACACTCCTTGGGTGGAGAGAACAATTGCTTGAAGCTAAGTGACCCTTCAACATCTCTCATACTATGATCTTCCAATTTAAAGACACGAGGAACATAGTATCCGATTTCAGCATCATAATATCGCAGATAACTAGGTGATCGTGCATCACGCCTTCTAAATGAACGATTGGGTCTACAGATATCAGTAATGATTTCCCTTCCTGCATTATTAGATTGGTGTGAACGGTGTCAAATGACATCCTTGTAAGGCACAGAGTCAATATAATATATGCAATTCCCCTCACAACCAGGGAAATCATTAACTGAAACAGAGAAACAAACATCTTTTCCTAGAACAAAAACTCGATCATTCAATGAAGTAACCTGAACCCACATCCCCAAGTTTTCATCAAACTTGTACACTTTCATATCCACCTTGTCAAAGCCAGTATCAATCAGCCCCGATTCCTCGAAGTCAATCGATCTACGACTGTAAGCATCAACCACATACAACTGCCCTTCTGATTCAACTAAGTTCTGCACCTGCCCCAAAGATTTCAATCCGGGCAAATGCTTAACAACATTCATAAACTTATCAATACAATGCACATTCCCATAAGTGTCCAACACATAATATTCACCCTGACATACTGATATATCCAAAAACATAAAATAAGGACTAAGACACAAATTGGTCCAATATTCATCCCCAAAACCCCTAAACCCTAATTTCACATCATCATATATAGCAAGAATCCCACAATCACGAAGCACAACAGCTTTCTTCACATTCAATTCACCATATTCAATACTCGAACCGAAATGCAAAACTTTCCCCAATTCAATTAACCGACAATCCCATAAATTCAGACTCTTACCCAAAATCCAATCTTTTTTAGGAATAGTTAAAGGGTTCAATCCCCCGAACTTACCCTCGGCTGTTTCGACGAGCTTAACCAAACAATTATGGTGATTGTGTTCAAGACGGAAGATTGTAACAGTATTGATGAATGCATGAATACCAGTAGATGAAGGAGGAGAGAGAAAAATGGCGGACCTCCATGAAGAACAAACAGCTCTGTATCGTAAAACATCGATTCGAAAATTGAGATAATTTCCAATTTTTTCTAGCAATTCTTTGGGAAGATCCGCCCAGTTTCTAGTGTTGATGATACTGCAACGATTTATTTTGTTGAGGTGGTTGTTCATGGTGTTTTCTGGCATTGATGGCTTATTTGGCTTCTGCAATTTTGCATGTGTTTTGCTTTGATGGCATTGCTTTCGAGCCGCACCCAATTGATCTGCTATAGTGCTATGTATGGGGGTATTACTATGTGAATCGCTAAACATCGCCCGTAAATTACCATATAAAGCCCATAAATATGACTTGGTGTGACCATTATGCCCATTTTCTAAAATTGAAATAATCTCGGTTTAAAAAATGTGGAGCCGTACTGGCTCGCCGGGGGAGACCGGAGGGCAGGCCGGAGATGCGGGGGACGCCGGAGGTACGTCGTCGTCGACGGAAAACGAGGTAAGTCACCGTTAAAATTCACGGTTTACCGTCGGAGTGGCTCTGGCGCCTAGGATGGACGCCCAAACCGTAGCCTGGACGTCCAAGCCAGACGCTAGAACCACCAGAGTGGCGTCCAGCCCAGACGCCCAGACCACCAGAGTGGCGTCCAGCCCAGACGCCCAGACTGGCGTCCTGGCCAGGCGCCACTCTACTGGCTGAGGCGGCCCTGCCAGGCGCCAGTCCAGTGGTTGTGGCAGCCCTGGCAGACGCCACCCTTATAAATTAATTTTTTTTCTTTTTTGATTTTGTTGTTGTTTTTTATTTATTTATTTTTTTTTTAAAAAAATCGAAAATGATTTTTTAAAAAAATTCGAAATGGGTTTTTTTTAAATTAATTTTGAAAATTCGAAATAGGTTTTTTTAAAATTAAGTTTGAAAATTCGAAATGGTATATTTTTAAATTTAGTTTGAAAATTCGAATTGGGTTTTTATAAAAATTAAGTTTGATTATACATAATTATGCTTTTTTTTTGTGTTAATTCTGTGTAAATATAGAAATTAAATGTATTATCCGTTAAATGTATTTATTGTAATATATAATTGATGCAGGATTATGGTGGAGACGGAAATGATTACAGTGGGATATTTGGACATGATGGTCCATTCGAAGAAGCTCAACAGGCGATTGATTGGGCAAAACAGGTTGCAATTGCAGCTGGATTTTGCTTGGTAGTAGTAACTCATAAATCTCAACGGGATGGTAGAATGGATCGCATTTTGAGATGTGACCGTTATCGCAAAAGAGAAGACATAGATTTTCGTACAGCCACTCGGTTTGATACAAAGCGGAAAGGTTGTGGGTGTGAGTTCAGAGTAAAGGTTCAATAACTACGGAGTCGTGACGGTTGGGAAGTGATTGGTTACTCTAAATGGGGGTATCACAACCATGAGATGATAGTATATGAAGAGGGTCATCGACAGCTGAGCGGCTTAAGTCCTGCTGCGAAAGTAGTTGTGAAAGAAATGAGTGATGCTCAAGTCAAGCCTGCTAAAATATTAGCATCTGTGTTAGAGAAATTTCCAGAAGACCATCCAAACCGAAGACACATCTACAACGTCAGACAGCAACTCAGGTTTGAACGGTCAGAGGGAAGGAACCCTATACAGCAGCTGCTACACCAGGCACAATCACGTGGTTACCTGTTCTAGTTTGATTCTGATGAAGATACAGCGGAGGTGACTCATCTTTTCCTTGTGCATCCTGTTTCGGGGTTTTCTGATGTCCTGCGGGAGAGTTACAATTCCGAGACTGGAACCGGACGCCTGTACCTGCAAAACAAACGGATGCTCCGGATGATTGGAGATCCGCCTCCGACGGTCAAGTTAGTACTTGATTAAGGAGTAATTAATGCGGAAATTAAAGTGATTGGGTCTCTCTAGGTGAGAGAGTTTAATGTGTGTAATCTGCGTAATCTCCCTTAATGAGGATTAAGGGAGGTATTTATAACCTCGGGAAACGTGCCAATCTAGGTTTAGGTTAACCTTAGGCTGATTGGGCTTCCCACGGAAGTTGGGCCTAGGTGACCGGTTATCCCAGGTGTCATGGGAAGGACACGTGTCGTGTCGTAATTGGTCCATAGTGGACGGATCATTGCTTGACACGTGGCAGGCTCCTGTTGGCCCATGTGACGGACACATGGCGGAACCTGATTGGTCCACTTGTCAGATGGTGATTGGTGGGGAAAAATCCCCTAATCATTTGCCCCTCACAGGTGGCACGTGACTGGTCACGTGTTACCTGTGACACGTATCGCCCTGTAACAGGCGACGGCCTGCTACAGGTGTCACTCGGCGAGAGGCCGAGAGATTCTCCCGCCAAAATTTTGAATTCTGGAAGTGACCCTTCGCCTTCTCACTTCGCCTATATAAAGGAGTGTTGACTTCGGTCATTTTCACACTTGAAAACTTTGTGAGAGAACATTCGGACCCCTGAACTTGCTCTGACATTTTGGACCCTTTCTGCCTACCGCCTGCTCTGACAAGCCGACTGCAAAGGATTTTCAGAACTTCATCAATCGTCACTCGTTCAGGTAACCGTCGGTTCTCTTACTCTTAATTTTCTCTTTACTTTATTCTTTTTTGAAATGGCACCACGGAAGCACACGACACGACCTAGGTTAGTGATCAGCCGGTCACCGGGGAAGGCTGAATCTAGGACTAGGAGTGCCGCCTGCCCTTTTCTGGACCCATCTTTGCCCTTTATACAAAGTCCGACTGTATCTGTGTCTATGCAGAGCATGATGGCCAGAACAAAAAAGACTGCCAGGATCTCAAACTCAGACGGCTCCTCCCACAGGGTGCCGATTAGTGAAACATCTGACCAGGCGCCAGATTTGGAAGTGAAACAAAGCGGCTTGAAAGCCGGCAGTTCTGAGGGAGGAGTCAAAGTGACCCCTTCCCATTTTACAGTTGACAATTCTACATTCTCTCCTGCTCCTTTTAAAGGAGAGGAGGCGGGCCCCTCCGGGAGAGGGGAGGAGTCGTCCTCTTCGGACTCGTCAGAGGACGATTCCGAGTCTAGCTCTTCTGGCCATGCTTCTCTGGACACAGAAGAGAAAAACAGTCGCCTGCAAGAGGCGAGGCTTTCTCACGCAGTTGAGAAGGGGGACGATTGGGCGGAGCCATCCGCCTCTCACCGAGAGAAAAATACCCCCTACTACTGCACGGTACCTCGGGGCCGGATCACAGCCATGCAAGAGAAAGTGGAGAGCTTTATCGCAAACCACACAATGGGCCCCGACTTTTTAGTGTTCGTGCCGGATCCAGAAGACACAGTCGTCTGGCCGGCTGGTACCAGTTATGATGGCGCCTGCTTTGGCTGCTACGAGGCGGCCATCAAGGCTAGGCTGCGCTTCCCACTACATCCGGCTGTTCAGCGGATCTTGGATGGGTATGAGTTGGGGTTATGGCAGTTAGCCCCGAACTCCTGGGTCAACGTACTCGGCTATGTGGCCGGGTGCGAACTGCACGGGGTGGAGCCGAACTTCGAGGCTTTCGCCCACATGAACTACCTCAGCCGGACCCCTAAGGAAGGCGGTACCGGCTGGTATCAATTGACGAGCCACAGGGGCTACCTCATGACGAGAGGTAAAGCAAACAAATGGAAGGACTGGCGGAGCACCTTCCTTATCATTGAGAGTTCAGACACAGAGCTGAACAAGCACTTCAACAGGTGGAACAGGAATCCGCCCCTTCTTGCAGGCGGCCGCAGCATGCCGCCTGTTCCCCCCAAGGCTAAGAAAGAGATCCTAGATAAAGGACTCTTCAAAGTAGAGTCGAAGGTGAACTCTACTTCAGGGGTACGAGAGCAAGTACCCCTGCACTGCGTCCCGAGCTTCAAATGGCTCTACGACGAGTACTTTTTGGCCGCCTGTGGCCTCAGCAGTCGGTGCTCAAGAGGTAGCCAGCCTGTCGAATACTCTGTTGTTCCATGCATTTCTTGTTATGACTTTTATTAACTTTGCTATTTGTTTTTGCAGCGGACGCCATGAGCAAAATTACCGCCTCCAAGACTGCGGCGGCCATGTTGCGGGCCTCCATCATGCAACAGTCTTCAACCGACTCCCCCAACAAGGGGGCACCCTTGGTGGGCTTCGAACCTTTCACCCTCTTTTTGGAGATGTGTTTATGCATATACTGACTCTTTTCTTCTTTTTTAGACGGGCGCTCCAAGAGCTTCTTCTTCCCAACAGCCGGACCCTAAGGCCCGGAGGACGACTGTTGCGAGCTCTCCTGGTTCTGCCAGGAAACATGTGGCGGCTGAGAAACAGCCGGCCACTTCTTCTAAAACTCCAGCTGGGCCACCTAGAAGTATGAAATTATCCTTGTAAATTTTAGACTTGCTCCCTTCTTTACTAGGTCTAATCCGTTTGTTTATGCTTGATGCAGCCGGCCCTCAGGAGCCTGACTTGGTCGAGGTGGCCAAGTCTATGATCAAGGCCGTTCCTCCAGCTGAAAGGGAGGCGGTCAGGGGTGTCGGCACCCTTGACCTAGACGGGATTGCAGGGGTCCTTGCTGAGGTATACTTAGCATATTTTTGAGTATTTGAATTCCAGGATGCCTGTTTTCTTTTTTGTTTGGAAACTGACGCCTGTTCCCCTTTTTACTTAGGCCCTGCTCCGAGTGAACGGCCTTCGCAAGCCGCTTGACCGGAAGAACAAAGAGGTAAAGGCTGCAAAAGCTATGGCCGCCTCTGACTGTGATAAGACAATGTTTCAAATTGCCCAAAATGAAGTTCTGACCATTGATATTCTTTATTATCAGGCGCAGGCTACCGCCGCTATCCGGGCTCAGTTAGAGGCTGCCTAGAAGAGGAATAGCGAGCTGGAGGCGACCATCAACAACCTCAAGGCCGAGCTAAGACCTCTTCGCCAAAAGATGTCCTCATACGAAACCTTGGAGAAATCCTTGGCGAGAGTAAAGGTACGCCTGGTGACCCAGGAGAAGAGTCTTACTCAGGAGCTCTCGGAAAAGGCCGAGCAAGAAAAGAAAGAGCTGGTCCGGGAGATGATGGAAGACTCTGCTCAAATCCAGCGCATGACTTGGGGCCGCCTCTTCCCCAATGCCGACTTTGCCTCATGGGAAAAAACGTACCGCCAGTGTTCTGATAGATATAATCAAGAGATCCTGGCGGCTGCTGAGGAAGAGG